GCTGGGGCCTTAGCCCAGAACATGTACATCATGGCAAGGCCCCTACTTGAGGGCTCAATCCTCACAGATGGATGTCTGAGTGGTTGAAGGTATCAGTCTTGAAAACTGACATATTACAAAATAATATCGGGGGTTCGAAGGGAAAAAAAACTTGCTTGATATCGAGGAAGGACTCCTCCGGAGGGGTAAAAAAAAAAGAAAAAAAAAGAAAAAAAAAAAAAAGAGAAGAAGGATACAAATTTACAAACTGCTATAAATCACTTCCTCTATAGCCGTTTTGTGGTAGTTTTGGCTGGTTTAGACTCTTTAGAGGGATGCTGGGCGCACTTCCCAGCAGTAGAAAATATAAGGAAAAACACGTACTGCAGCCACAACTTCGAGCCACGCCGGAGTGCTTGGCTCAAACAACAACAACAACAACAACAACAGTAAACTTAAGGATTTTCCTCTCAAATGGGCAGAGGTAAAAGCCTCTCGCTCTGGGGTGCTGGGCAGTTATCCTTAGCGCTGCCATTTTTGCTGTGCTGCTATTTTTAGTTCATTATGGTACACCAGCTCCATAACATTGGGAGGGAAGAAAGAAGCAGATGAGCTGAGGAGTCATGGAGCACAGTTTTTGTGGAAAGAGGAAGGTAAAATATATGTTATATTATATAATATATATCCATGGTGGCACTGTGGAAGGTGAATGGGAAAAAGGGAGGAGGGGTAGATACTGAATATCCTGGATCCATACAACCAGATGGGATGAACTAGGGGCTAAGTGGATGCCACAAGCTTTGGGGGCATTACCAGCACAGACTTCAATGGTACTGGTAGTCTGGTACTGTTCTTGGGAGAAGGATGGAACGTGATGGATGAGAGACTGACATGTGATGTCCGCATGATGGGAATTTTATTATTATTATTATTATTATTATTATTATTATTATTATTATTATTATTTTTTAAAGAATCATCGGCCGCAGGGCATGGTGGTGGTGGGGGAGGTGCCGGTAGGAACGGACACCCCCTGCACTGGTCCCTCACTTTTTGATGGCTCCATTTCATTGGTGGGGGAGCTGCACCTGCTGGAAACCGGGTCCAGCGTCCCTTAACATCTGTCCATGGAGCCAAAGATGCAATCTTAAAAAAAATGTTTGGTATATGCTAAGTTGCTAACGCAGCCTTTAAGCAGTAAAAATGATATAGTAGATGGTAGAGTCACTAGAGTGACCGTTCCGGCCATTAGCATGCGAGCAAGGGGCTTTTTTGGAGGTGAAAGAACAACTTGAAGGTTGAATTAAAATATGGGCTACCATATTGCAAGGGTTGGGATAAGAGTAAAGGCTATGCATATGTACGGAGTCTATGGACCAAAAACAAGAGAAAACTTTTGAGAGAATCAATGTTTGAAAACTACTTAGAGGAAAAGATGTTCAGGGCAAGGAAAGTCAAGTGAAACTTTGTTAGAAGTTGGATGGATGGAGAAAGGTGTGCCAGGGACCTGTGGGGGGTAGAATAAAGGACCTCCGGGACAAGAGAACGGGACGCTGGAGGACTGAGAAGGAGCTGGCAAGTTGGCAAACAAACTGGGAAGGCTAAAAATAGTTAAAGTAGTTAAAAAAAAAAGATCAGGCTTAGATATCTGTAAGTGGTATGATACGCGATCGCTTGCGAATGGTGCACTCTGGTGGAAGGATCGAGGATCAAGATGCAAACTTTAAGAAGCTATGTGGTTGAGAAAGTGGAAACCATGGAAAATGTTTTTGGGTGTGGAGACTGGGGGAACATACAAAGGAGGACCTATGGAGAGAAACCTGCCTTGTGGACTACCGTTAGGGAGGAACAGTGTTGGACCCGATACTAGTCGCTACGGTCTCATTATGCTTATCCCAATTCCTGGAATTCACTGTGAGCTCTGCTGGTGCCGAGGCTATGTGTCCCACCAAGTGTGCATGTGTGTGCGAAGAGAGAGAGACACAGAGAGAGAGAGAGAGAGAGAGAGAGAGAGAGAGAGAGAGAGAGAGAGAGAGAGAGAGAGAGAGAGAGAGAGAGAGAGAGNAGAGAGAGAGAGAGAGAGAGAGAGAGAGAGAGAGAGAGAGAGAGAGAGAGAGAGAGAGAGAGAGAGAGAGAGAGAGAGAGAGAGAGATGAGTGTGTGTGTGTGCGTGTGTGTGTGTGTGTGTGTGTGTGTGTGTGTGTGTGTGTGTGTGTGTGTGTGTGTGTGTATGTGTGTGCATTCATGTGTATGTCTGTACGCCTCCGCCTCTTCCTCCTCCTGCTCTTTCTTCTTCTTCTTCCTGTTTCATTCGAATTCACCACCTACCGTCTTCACCCAAATAGAACGCCCGGTAATCATCGCCGTATCTGGGCTGAAAGTCGTGCCAAATACAGCTATAATGACCGGGCATTATAGTCGGGTGAAACCGGTAGGCGGATAAGGAGGAGGGCAAACAAAGCAGAGTAGGGTGGATGAACGATTCACACTTCGGCCCGGGAGGAAGGTCTTAGAAGGGAGGTTTCTAAGCTGTACTCGTCTTTGGTGTCTGTAGACACTGTACTGACCTCCATCACCAATTCGAAATTCTTCACCGATGGCTTGACTTGAATTTCTGGAGAATAGTGGCTCAAGTCAACCTCACACTCCTCGCTTTTTTTGTTTAGCTTGCACTTATCGCATTGCTTTTTTCCCTGGTCAAGATGGGAAACCATCATTCTGAAAAAAATCAAAAATCCAGCACAAAAACAGGTTCCATCAAGGTCTGGAAAAAGTTGCGGATTGAGGGGGAAAAAAAAGAAAAAAGAAAAAAAAGAAAAGTTAGAAAACGGAGTTCCGAGAAGCCGTTTATAAATAAAAGAACGTTAAAAATAGAACGGAATGCAAGAAACAGACTCCCAATTTCCCAAACAATTCCCACTTCTTTTAGAATGATTTTTCCTCACGTTTTTTCCGTTTTGTTTTGTCGACTGTTTAAAAGTTCCAAGTTTGTCTTTTTCAAGTTTTTTGTTTTGTTAAAAAATTGTTGACCTTTCTTTTCCCTTGGTCGCCAATGGGATGAGCCAGCCCCCGACGACGCTGACGTCATGTTGAATTCATCCGATCCGATCCGATCTGATTCGTCAAGATTCGATCTGCTGATCTGTAAGGATTCTGCATACTAACAGTTCACATGTGTGTAGCATCGACCCACATGCATGGGGTGGATAATTCCTGATTTTTGAATTGCCGGTCGCCCCCCTTCACCCGCTCTCGGCCGAGAACATAGGAAGGGCGATAGTGTTATCGATAATGTCGACCTGTCGCCACTATGGTACAGACGTTCGCTCTTCCAGCTGGACTGCTCTTCCCTCCAAATGGTGAGACTCCGAGGCATACTTGCAAGCGGACGCCGTCCAGGCGGTTCTGCAAGTGCGGCAGGCCACCGGACCGGACCCGCGCGGCGCACGAATGTGCGCCCGACGACCAGTTACGCCCCCCCCCCCCCYCCCCCCCCCCCAAAAAAAAAACGGCCCCATCTGGTCCGGTCCGGGGGTAGGGTGCCGCATGCGGCAAAGCGGACCGGACCGGGCGCTCGTCCGGTCCGTCTGCTTGCAAGTATGCTCTGAGGCACTTGGTGTCCCACTATTTGTGGAAAGAAGAAGTAGCGATGGCACTTTTTTGCCGAAGGTCGCTTGGCAGACTGTTACTCAGACAAATCGAAATGGAGGCCTCTTCATTTTGGACCCGGGAAGTCGGATCACCGCCCTGTTGGCACGATGGGTGCCATGGGCAATTTTTGAATATCCACTCACTCCGTGGCGGCAAGTAACGGGATTTACACTTTTCTTCTTTTTGGACTGGGTCTGGTCTGCACTTTTTTTTTTTTTTTTTTTTTTTTTTAAACAGGTCCTTATGGTCCTGGCTCCTTTCCATTCTGGGGGGAGCGTCAGTCCGTTTCCTATTCCCCCGGCAAGTCAAAACGAATTACATATAGTACACACTCACTCTTCCTTCCGTCTGGCCGAAGGATCCCTGACCAGCATTGATTACTCCCTTGTAGGAGGATTGACTGTCAGCTTCCTCAACATAACTAGAAAAGTGAGAGGTTGCACTGGCACTGTATGCGATCGGCTATCTCACCCCCTGTTTGTCGCTCTGCTTGTTCCTGTGTTTGTTATGCCGATCTTCGGTCTTGGATTCCGTGGACTGGTTAGCACCTTCCGTTACCCTTAATGCCACTTCTTCCATATCAGTATGTTGTCCGTTATGGTGGCCACCTTGCCCTTCAATAGCCATTCCTTTAGGAAAGCTACCAGTAGTCTCTTAGCTGCGTGCTTATCTGGTCTGTGTGTCTCGCTGACGAAGCTATTGTCCGCCATCTGCTCCGGATTTTGGTCTCCACCATGTGTACCAAAAGAGTCCACATTTCTTCCTTTGCCACCTCTGCTCCATCGACTGTCTGCGTGCATCGTCGTTTCCATATGATTCAGAGAGTTAAGCTTTCTGAGCATTCGGAACCAGCCTTCCCTGGCAATCCCTGCTGCCATTGAGGTACTTGGGTGTGCTAGGGAGGGGTAGAATGGTAAGGGGGGAGATGTTAGGGGTTGAGACTGAGAAGATGTTAGACCACCACCATAGTTTTTTTTTCTTTTTTTCTTTTTTTCTTTTTTTTTCTTTTTGCACAGGGGCCATGCTCATCTTCTCTGTATCGTTCCAATTGTATCGGTTGTCCCAAGGACTTTCACCAACTCATGAGGATGTTGAACCTCGACAGACCACAGACAGACCAGAAAGAGAATCAGCACCCCTTTCTTTTTTTTGTGAAAGAATTGTAACCTTTTATTACCAATTGGAAAAACGGAGGCTGGGAATCCTCACAAACAACCCGGAAATTACTTGGGCCATCACCCAGCTTCGGGCTTATACTGCAAACCGGGTCCAGCGTCCCTTTATTTCCTGCTACCGTCAACTCTTCCGAAAAAAACTCTTGAAGCTCAAAGGAAATGCAAACCCCAAATAGCGTACCCAAAGCTACCACCCCTCTTGTTCAAAGGGAGCGAGTCTATCTCCTATGGGGGTCTACCCCTGCTAGCAACTCTTCCATAAACCCTCTTTGAAGCTCAAAAGAAATGCAAACCCCGAGTAGCCTACCCAAAGCTAGCAGCCTTCTTGTCTACAGGGAGCGAGTCTACCTCCTATGGGGGGGTACCCCTGCTGGTTCATGAAAGGCTTTTGTTCTCTTAGACTGCTAGTTAAGACTTTGCTACCTTCTTGTTTGCTCTTCTCCCCCTTAAACCCTAAACCCTAGCTAGATCCTCTCCTCCATGCAGACTTTCCTTCCTTCCGCTTTTGCATTCCGTCCTCGCGAACCTCTCCATCCTCTGCTGCCTCTTGTTGTGGTTGTGTTGTTGTTGCTGTCTTCCAGTGGAACCGTTTTCTGATATCTCCTCTTCCAGATTTTCCACAGGGCATAGTGTCTCAGAAGTTGAAATGAAAAGTTGTCCTCTCATAACCCTCCCTGCCAGGTACTTGGTGTTCCGGTTCCCAGCAGCAAGGTCACCAAGTCTTCGGGGAACATGGCCATGGCCGTGTCATGGCGTCTGTGAGTTTGCCCCATCATAAATCTTTCACTATCGTTCATATTTGCTCTGCGTTATGACCTTCTAGACAACAGTGCTTAACAGATTCCTTCAGGCCTTCCTGACCCACTGCACACAGTTCGTTCTGCGGTCCTCTATTTTCTTGGCTCCTGTCACATGGATGATTAGCCACCGTGAACTCCTGATTCGCCCCAGTCTGATGGAGCTCAGTCCTGACCATGGCAGAGGACTAAGCCGTGCCGGAGCCACACCCATTCGATATTCTCAGCGTGTGGGTACAACCTCTTTTTTTTTTTTTTTTTTTTTCAAAAAAAAACAGAACCTTACGGTTCCGGCTGCTTTTCCATTCTGGGGGGTACAACCTCATTCCGAGCTTATACCCCAACTTAGTTAAGTGCAGTATGTTTGTTCTTAGCATCACGTTCAGCCTCTCTCCTCTCAAGTTCCGGGTCCATTCCACCGGATCTATCTTGAGGTCCTCCACTGCTGTTGTTGGTCTATAGATAGTGAAGTCTTCTGTCTCTATGACCCTCCTGACCGGCTCCAGTCTCATCGAGATGTGTTCTTGATTCCTTATTGAGCTTGCTTGTTGTCGCACCTCGCTCCTCTGTTTGATACATGTTGGTAGTCAGCCAGTTCCTTTGTGGGCCTTCCCTTCTCTGTACTCGGAAAGCCATCGTTGGTTCTTCTTCGTGTCGCCAAGTTACCCAGTCTCCGTACTCCCATTGGGGTCCCTTCTCCAATAACCTGCTCCAGTCTGAGGGGATCGATATCAGCAGATTGTTGAGGTTTTCCAGTAGTTTGTGGCTGCCTTTAAGCTGGCTTCTCAGTTCTCTTGTTGTTTTCCACTGCCCTTTTTCTTCTTACCACAGGTGGTTTATCTGCCACACCCCATGCTCAGGGCCACGTCCCCCATTTGGAGTCTTGGGCTCTTAGGGCTCTGGGCCTCCCTTGTTCATCTTTGCTCGATTTGTTACAGAAGAGAGGCTGTCGTAGACCTTCCTCTCTTGTTCTTGGCCCGCGAACCTTGGCTGGGAGAATTTCTCGTCATATCTTGAGTAGATGACGCCAGTAGTTTCCATCTCCCTCTCCCTGAGTATGCTGCTGTCCCCAGTTGGCTTACCTAGCTGTCTTTGCCCAGCCTCTGCACGCAAGCCAGTAAAGCCCTGACATGTTGTGTGGGGTTCTGTATTTGGCCAGCTTTCTTATGCTTTCACGCGCCAACGGTACCCACAGCAGTCTGTGGTTTGAGATAAGCCTGATCACCCACTGAGTCTGCAATACTTTGGTCTGCTTCTCCGGATCAATGATGCCCAAGCCCCCCTTCCCTTTCTTTCTCGTTACGTGTTTCCAGGCAACCTTCGAGATGAATTGCTGCTTGGAGGGGTTGGCTGTCCATAGGTAGGCTGCTGCTCTTCGTTTAAGTACTGTTGCTGTATGTGCTGTCAGACTCCGTACCGTTCCTGTGTACCATAGCATTGAGAAATTTGAGGCATTTAATATTAATGTTCTGCCATACAGTGAAGTGTAGATCGTCGACCAAGATCCCAGCTTGGCTATATGTGCTGTCAGACTCCGTACCGTTCCTGCGTACCATAGCATTGAGAAATTTGAGGCATTTAATATTAATGTTCTGCCATACAGTGAAGTGTAGATCGTCTAATGTTCTGCCATACAGTGAAGTGTAGATCGTCTAATGTTCTGCCATACAGTGAAGTGTAGATCGTCGACCAAGATCCCAGCTTGGCTAGCATTTCGGAGAGTATTTCGGGTGCCATTGAGTAGTGCAGGCCTGCTTCGGACACCGTTATCCTAGATACCTGAGTGGTTCTGTCAGGCTCAGCCACTGCATCCTTTCAGTAGCTGAGGGGGTACCTGGCCCTTCTTCCTCCGAGTCCGTCCACCACCAACCATCCCACCGTCTTCGACCAGTTGGTCTTCATCTCCGATGACAGCTGGAAAGCATGCATTGCTCTCATCAGGGCTTCGAACGATGAGTCTATGCCCTAATCAGCACTGTCAAGTCGTCCATGAAGAGTATTGTCATCGGGATGTGGGTTATCTCGCCTTGCTGGTCCGTTTCCGTGATCAGCCTTCGAATTGATGGATCTTCCTTAGGAAGGATGCTACTGCTTC